GCCTTCTACAACATCTGTCGACCGAGACGAGTTAGCTGAAATCAACATGTTTCAGAAAAACAGAAGAAACGTACTTAACCGGGAATATTTAAGCAAATTATTAAAATATCTCGTAGAAAACTCATTTAATTCCAATGATTCTGAAATTTACCTTGCAGGAATATTACCTCGACAATCACAGAATATTACCTCGACAATCAGTTATTTTGGTTCTTGTTTGGATCAAAATAGTAATGAGCTGGGTGAGGAAAATACATTTAGTTATGCATGAGAATGAAGGGCTTTCAATCAAAGTTAAAAGCACTTCGTATTCGCTTTCAGTGAAAGGTGGAGGTGCCCAGGAAGTAGTCCGAGTGGTAGCAAATGTCAATAGCAACCACACGCTGGCAAGGCTTTCAGTGGCTTCTTCTTCCGAGAGTTGTTTATAAACAGGTCAATGATGGGCTTGAATCCCTGGCATATGTCAGTACCAATTTACCATCGAAACAAATAAATGAATCGTAGATGGATTGGTTGTCTCACCGGCGGAACAAAACCTTTGGCCGCTAATGGGACGGCTAAATTCACGGAATGTTCTACTTTTGTAAGTGTAAATTCTAACTTGTTCGACGAATTGCTTAGGGCCGACGAGTTCCGTGCAACCATACGTTATTCGTGAAAGTCCTCGTGATTTTCCATAATCCATAACATTCTGATATTCTACATAATTTCCACCACCAATTACAAAAACAATCACATCCTGTGCTGGATTTCCACGTCCACGTTGTGGCCTGTAATGCAAAACATGGATTTCTCATTCAGTTAGCTAAACTTTTCAACTCAATCTAATACTGTACAATGAAGCATCATCACTGATTTCTTGCCAGAAAGCCTTTATTCACGTACCTGAAAAAGTTTTACAGAAAATTAAAATAACTGAGAGACTCTATAGCCTTTTCTTGCGTTTTACAGAAAATTAAAATAACGGAAAGATTTCATATCAATATTTTCGCACAAGTTAAACTACTTAATGCAAAAATCAAGAAATTTTGCAGGATTTACTATTAATGCAAAAAAAAAAAATTCAATCTCCACAACAAGAACGAAAAAATCAAGTGGATGAAGAATGCGTACTGCTACCAATTCGACATGAGACTCAAAATAATGTACAAAACTCGTGGACAAATAACACCCAGGCGAGACGGAGAACAAGTTTGAAGGTCTCGATGTAACAGAGAAATACAGCTACAGGCGAAGCACAGCCCTGTGACAAAGGGAATTTTCCAATACTTGGCAATACTTACTCTTTGCCAGTGGAATGTATCAGTTTTGGATCGTAATATCGGAATTCATCCTCGCTGTAACGTGCTGCTCCTTGAGAAGTTCCCATTATTATCGCATCAACCATCTGTAAAATTACTGTTTGATAAACTATCATACACAGAACGTCCGTATTCAAACCGGACACTTCGTGTAAATAAAACTGATGGTACCAACTAGCAATATGAAGTTGCCCGACAACAAAAGTCGATGGCACAGAACTATTGCTCAAGTATTCAAGTATGAAGAAGTTGAAACAGCCAAAAGCTTGCTTTTTATGTAATTCTCAAAAGAGGAAGCCATCCACAGCATGCCATCGGGGATAGTTGCAGGCGGTAAATTTTCCCAGAAAGAGTTTTTTTTTGAGACGAATAACGCTACTACACAAGTACCCTAACAGTGAAAAAATGCTCCCTTGGCCACAACAATCATGGAACACTGTCAACTCGTTTGATGATGAGAGGAAGCAATTATGAAACAAATGCTATAAAAAGCAGGAAAAGCAAAAAAAGGTTTAACTGAAGAAGTCCAGTTGTGGTGCTAGAAAAAAACGTTTACGACTTCATGGACCGAAACATTCCTTTCTTTTTATAATTTCACTTTCTTGATATTAGGAAGTTAATTCGCAAATCTTATTTTGACTTACTTTCATTAACAATCATCTGGAAAATTCTTCCCCAAAAATTTTGCAAGTAATGCCACTTGTTCCTTTCAAAACTTTGCATTTGTCTTTTTATCTTTTTCTAATTTCAATTATACTTTTCTCGTAGCTCTCCGTGCTACGCTTACTTTTGTTAGCGGTAAATTATGCTTCCTTGGGACGAGATTCTTAACACCTTCCATGAACAGCTGCGAGCCGCGATTTAGCAAATTTGCGAACATACTATCCGTTTTGATGCCACCACCCGAATAATCGCTTGCCATGCGACTCAAATTCATATTCGATATTGATCTGTAAAACGAACGCAAAAACATATGCTGTAGCGGATACAACGAAAACCACAGCTTTTCGTTTTTTTATGCGTTTTGTGCTGTGTAACAGCAGTACAAAACGCATGTTGTTAAGGGGTTGTCTGTGTGTGTGTTTGTGTGTGTGTGTGTCCGCAGCAACTTGTCCGCAACTTTCAACTC